ATCAAATTTAGAGATAGAGTAAGTATAACTAAGGAACCATTTCTGTTTGGATTTATATACAGATACATATATCTCAGTATCTATTAAAACTAGGCTAATAAAACTTGTCGTACTTATAATTTGGTTATAGTATTCATTAAAAATGTACAGAATGACATTTGGTTCGCAACCTATTTCTAAATAATATAGGTATAGCTTTTACCATCCCAACATATGGGAAAATAAAGGTAATAGATCTTATAGGTAGATACAAATATACCTCAAGGCATGTACAGATTAGCTAAAGATAGAAAAGATGCTCCCGATCATTATTAACTTAGATGAAATAGGTATGCTTCATGATCAATAAAATCTAGGAATGCTTGTTCTATAATTTACCTTACAATAAATCAATTTCCTCTTGTTGCAAATATCCTCGATATACCTGAAACCTGAAACATATATAATGCATATAACATACATCTTCAAACATTCTCCAGTTCCCAAGCCCACTTCAAAATAAACTATCTTCAATATTACAAACTATATAATAAAGCGTACTTAAAATATATTTCTATCACACTACCTATGCTATTACAACTTTTAATCACTTTATATGCCCATATATTGCTTCTCCAAATTTAGACATCTGCAACTATTCATATGGAGTACTTAGCTATGCTGACGATCATAAGTTTGATCAAACAATTTCCGCTACCATAAACTCAACAACTCAACTCAACTCATTTACAATAGTTAATTTTTGTTTTTTATGGCATCAACAATTATATAAAAAACATTAGCAATTCGCATGGCAATGCAAATTTTCCACAACAACAACAACAAAATGTGTTGCAAATATTGACGTAACTTGTATTTTTTTTTTCTGCGGCGAAAGGCCAAACAAATTGACGGTTTTGCTTTTCATGCTTCTCGCCTGAGACTTTCAAAAACGAAATGAAAAGCTGCCTTACAGGTGGACAGATTAAAAGGAGACTCAAGTGTAATGGTATTACATAAGAAATGTCAAGTAAATAAATTTACACTATCATATCTCTCTGGTATATCCTAGTCCAATAAATTTTACAAAAATAATTTTTTCAATATCTTTTTCTGTGTTTTTTAGATGTTTCTATCAAGATCTGTTTTCATATTTATAGCCTCGAAATATTCATATTTATATCTCTGGATTCTGTAGTTAAAGGCATTCAAATTGTGTTGGCTATCTCAAGCAAAGGCAATACGTAAAAGCCAGCATATCCTGTCGAATCAAGTAGCTGGGCCAAAGAAGCCTTCAGAAACTTCAACCAAGGCCGCAATTCATTACAGTCAAGTGCCTCAATAACCCATGTTTCGGTAGCTTCATGGTCCGGTTTTGTAGGTTGCCGCTTATCGTTCCATCAATATAAATCACAACAAAAGGCTTTTGGCCAACTGCATTTTGACAATGTTGGCTTTCGTTATGGCCGGCGGCAACAGCAACGGCCCAAACGCATCCTTTGTGCCATCCATTGTTCCGCAGGGACTGTTAGCTTTTGATGGATGCGCTCCAACAACAGAGCCAGAGCAGTAGCAATTCCAGTAGCAGCAGCAGATGTTTGACTTTACAAAAAGGAGCTAGAGCCAACGTCTGCTCATGATGCATCCATCATTCATTCTCTTATACTTAACGGCGTCAACACATGGACACCAGGCCGAGGACCTCTTTGTGGCAGATGCTTTAACTTTAAATTGTATGCTATTAAGTGTTAATTGAGTAATGTTAACTAAGTTATAGAGGGAAGTTACTAAAGCTAAACGCAGTAGCAGAACGAAAGGGAAGTATTTCGAGAGGTTCAGGATACACTCGATGACAAAAGTATATGGACAAAAGTAAATTGCACAATTTATATAATACATTTCCATTTATTGAAGTTCATTCTCAGAATGTTTATCGTCTATAATAAGTATAATAATATAAATAGGTGCTATATTTTCTATATAATGGAAGTATTCTTCCATTTCACTTTAATCGAAGAAAAATACTTTTTCCTCTCTTCACACACAAAAACAAAAAATAATGATAATAATAATAATAATAATAATAAAAATAATGTCATTAAAACAAAATAAATATTTATAATATACATGATATCCTTTATACTTAAATGATTAAAAATAGATCCTCTTTTAACTTTGATCTCAAGAAAATAGTCATTTCTTCTCTTTAGACAAAAAAAAATATTTAAGATCACTCTATATCTTAGTTATACAAACATCTGTGTATATGCAGCAAATTCCAAGACTGAAGACCCATATTTAAATAAATTCTAATTATAATACAAAAAATCACCGTCAAAATAACACACTATAAAAACACCTATATCTATATTATATCTGTATTTATATTTCTTCTCAACCTCACATACATATTTTTTGTCTCAACCTCGCACGACAACAATTGGTTGCTATGTTGACATTAAACGCTATTCTGATATGCTTATCGCAGCTGTCAGATCTTTGGCCCGCATATCTCTCACGCGCTTCACATCGCGATACGCGCGAATTCATTCTGGCCACTAATTTGCATTGCAAAATGGCTATTACACGGTTTATCTGTCTAAATCGGCGCTGCAGCACAGTAGCTGGCCAGCTGTTAATAATGCAACTAAGCTCCATTCCATACCATTCTCTTTGCCACAGGCAGAGTGCAACATTTGCTGAACTTAAAGTGTTGCGAATTACATGCAAATTACTTAATAATAAATGCCGTTAATTGTTTTAAATGCCAAAGCTGCCGAACAAGAGATACTATCTCAGCTCATGTTACACAACATTTGAAATTGATATGGCAATACAGTAGTTGGGTTCATTTGATTTGAACCCTAAACCCTTGTTAATATTAATATTTAATATATTCAGTGTGCTTATCTCTAATAAACTTTCAAGTGTTTTCAACTAACTGCAATACCTTATCAAATATGAATTGCTTTACATATAAGCTTGACATAATACCAAAATCCTCAACTCTTTAAAATGCTGCTTATAAAATTAGTATATCAATTTTTCACACAAAAAACCCCAGCAAAAATATAAAAGTTTAGTGGTTTAAAAAGTTTGTCGACAAAAAAAGGAAACCCTCTGACAGGACGAAATTTCCACGACTTGCTTACAATATATACATACACATATATATACATATAAACCCTCACTTGCTATACCCTGTTCTTAAGTGAAAATCAAACGTTGGGTGTATTGATAAGGAGATGTTAATTAAAGATGATGGTATGTAGACTAATATAAGTGAAGTGTCTATATAAATAAATTAAATATATATGTTTTTTTGCACTTTAATCTAGTTCATTCTATTTATACATATATATAAGTTTATAGGGCATCTGCCAGTCGAGCAACCTAAATGGAAACCAAATAGCAGGACTTGTTTTAATTTGTATTTACATGACACAGGAACACAAAATCGCTAAAGACTTGAAAATTAAATAAAAGGGCAAAATGCAGCAAAATCTCGGTAAAGAAAAGGGTAAAAAGCAGGCGTGGCAGGAGAACATTGAAAGGTTAAGGATAGAGAGCACAGGAAGAAGCGGAAAGAAGAACGGGAAGAAGCGGGTCACATGCGGCATGTGTAAATATTTAGAGTTAATTAGTTCAAGTGACTGCAGGAGTGGAAAAGGGCTCGAAATGTGCTTAAAAACGCGTAAAAAGTGCGAAGCTCATTTTGGTAAATAAACAAATTAATTTTATTAAACTTGCACGAGTTGAGTGTGCAAAGGTAGGCTGGAGTAATGAAATACCCTGCAAAAAATTTTGAAATGATATATGTAACAAATTTTTAAAATATGTATTGGAAAAAATATGTATAATACAAAAAATATTATAAAAAAAATTCCATAAAAATTTTTTATAAATTATTCTTATGATGAATTATTTACATTTATTTATTAATAACTTTTTTTATTAATTTTATTTTTATATAAATTTACTTCTTATTTCCATAATCTAGTAGAATGTTTTCAAATTCGTTGCTCTATCACAAACAAACTGATCTTCAGCTCTCAGGTATTCCCATTTTATTCCAGGACTTAAGCAATCATGCTTAAAGCAGCGTATCTATTCATAGTTTCCACCCCCAAAAGTTTTCCCACTTCTTATATTCGAGTATTTAACAACAAGCCAAGACACACACACACACAGAGTTGTATTTACACAGTCAGCCACATACCACAAAGACCACAATTTAATTTCCATTTAACCAGCCATTTTTAACTGAGTAAAATCAATCGCAAATTGAATTTCATTCGACTCGTTATCTTTAATTTTATTTGACTGATTATGCTTTTAACTGGAATCAATTTGTTTTGTCGTGAATGGCTGAAGGCAAGAGGCAGAAGTGGACTACACCCCGTTTAATGGCCAAATACACAAAAGCAAAAGCAAGAAATCAAAATAGAGAAATGCAATCATGTTGAAAATATTTGCATATGCCGCGCCGTGCCGCTCCGCGCCAGAGCACCGCCCTCGAACCGGAAGCGGAAGTAAACAATGGACGGCAACAGCTCGACTCGCAGTCGGAGCTCTCAACAAAAGCCAAAAATTCGCATGAAAGGAATCCAGACCGAAAAGCGAAAAAAAGCAAGGAAAAGCGGAAAACTCGATGATGCTGACGATGAAAAATCGAAAATAAATTTGATATAAAAAACTGCTTTAGTCTGCATTGTAGCCAAAGGCAAAGAGTTGCTCTGTATGTAGGGTAAAGAGCACAAATAATAATAAGAGAATACCGCTTAGAGGTTAAATAAAGAATTTTGCTAAAATTTAATTTCATAATTTGTTTTATATTAAAATTTTTCAAATATTTTTATCATTGTTCTATAAAAAGGTTTTAAAATATTAAAGTATTTTAAAAAATAAAAATACAATAATTAAATTACATTATGTCAACAGAACAGCAACAAAATGCATTTGAAAATCAATATACCTTTATAAGAGAATAAATATATATACAAAGCGCTCAGCACGCTTACCTCATTTGTGTCTCTCTTATTATTTCCCGCTCACAAGCGCGCATTATTTTGCCACTCTCTATCTCTCTCTATCACTCAATGTGCATTCCTTTATTTGCGTCATTCTTTGCATCAAAAAATTCAGCTGACAAAAATTACGCAATACATATTTTACACATAATTAAATTAACAAAATAATCGCTAAGCTCTGAAGACAGTCTTATATCAAAAACAAATGTAATAAAATAATCAATTAAAACACATCTTGATAGCGAAACCTAATTAAATACGATTCTAAACTCACGCGCACAGATTCCGACTGATCGAAAGAAGAAACGCACGCAAACTAAAAATAACTCATTAAGTGCGCTCCTTTGCTAAGCCGGCATTCTCTCTAATACATCAACAGTTAAGAGCAGCCGGCATTTATACTTATAAAAAAACAACAAAAGCACTCAACTAGCAGCGCATCTGCACTTCACACACCATTCGCAATGCGCTAGCGCTCATACTACTCTCAATGGGACCATCAGTCGCTCTTAAGCTAACGGGATCAGCATTTCAGCCAATGGCATGCGCGCCATGGACAAATTCAATTACCCCTCCCGCTCAGCGCATCAGTGAAACCAAAATATGTAACGGCATTAAAAGCAACAACAACAAATATTGTGCTCACGATTAGCAGAGAGACAGATAAGGCAAAATATGCAGCAATCTGTGTGTTGTGACGTCACAGTAGGGAATTCATATGGGTGCGAGCGAAATGAAAGAATTTTCGCCACAATAAAAGGCTTTAGTATTTTTGTTAACAAATGACGAGCACAGAGGAGACTTTTAATCAATAATGACAGCTCACTTTACCCGCATAATTTGGAAATATCAAAAAAGTGAAAACAACCTTAACAAATCAGTAACCACTGCAGTCAAAAGGCATCGCCTGACAAAGAGCTCAAAAGAAACGAAACGAAACGAAAAGTTGAAAGCAAAACTAAACTGCAAGTGTGTAAAAGGCAACTAGAGAAGAGAAGACACAGAGATGTAGAGAGAGGGAGAGGTCTCCAAGGAAAGTGTAGGAAGAGGCATAAGGGGAAGGGGCTGCGGTTCTCATTGGTTGCTGGCAGTTGGCATTGGCATATTGAGTGAAGTTTTCAAACGTCAAAGTCGATTGCAATCTGATTAATTAAGAGTGGTGAGGGTGACTGATTACGTATGTGTGTGTGTGTGAATGTGTCTGTGTGTGTGCGGTAGGTAATGGCAACTGCAAATGGGCTCTCAGCAAGCATAGCCCCAGTGTCCTTTAAGCCAAAGGCCATTTGGGAGTGTGTGTGTGTGTCATGTGTGTGTATGCATGCACAGGTGATCCTGGTCGAAAAGCCAGCTCAGCCATGCCGCCGGTTGCAGCCATGACTGCTTTTTGCCTGTAGGAAAAGTGAAATTCACATTGCTATGCCACCAAAGGAATTCAGTTCAAGGACTCGACAACAACCAAAAGGCAGCGTCTACTCCATCTGCTCACTCGCTCACCCGCTCAACCACCCACCTGCCCATCTGTTCTCCTGTTCTCCTGCCAATTACATTGTTTTGCACGCAGAAATCGCTGCGAAACTCATTCCGAGGCCAAAGCCCATTAAATGCCCAATTAAAATCCAAATGAGCCAGAGAATACAACAAACGAACGCAAGAACAACTGTACGTAAAGCGCGAAATATATACCAGATGGTACTACGATGGATACTACATGGAAAACAAAACATGAATGGCACTCGGAGTTGTTTATGGGAACCTATTAAAAAAAAAGAAAATGAACCAATTCAGATGAATTGAGACGAATGTGAAATACTCTTGGAGGGCTTTGAAGAGGTGGAAACCAGGAAACATAAGCCATCTCAATATCCTATAACACTGTGGCTCAAAATGCGAATGTAACCCCGAAAACGTGATTCCGAAATTATCGGTCCTTCAACTCACAAAATCCTTTGGTAAACCTCGTTTAACTTCTAAATCTCGACTCTTAATTTATTACTCCTTAGCATTGACTCCTAATTTTCAGCTCCTAAAATTTTGCTCCTTAACTATGTAGATGATGGTACTTACAGTCTGCATAATTCTCTGATAATTTTACTAGCACTAGCCGCCCATCCAGCTCACTACTTCAGTTGCTTCGGCTTATTTCTCATTATGAATAATTTTGCATAAATGAAAAATGTTACAATGGGTGCTTCAGTTAACAGCCTGTCGGAGTTTGTTGACTCGGAACAGGTTCCATGGATACTCAAAGGAGAGAGGAGAAGAAAGAGACGGCGAGCAGAGAGTGGGGACAGAGCACACTTCTATTCGAACTACTTTTATCAGCTGTCGTCGAATTGCTTGCCTGCCTGTCGTCTGCCTGCCTGCCTGCCTGCCTGTCCGTCTATCCGTCCGTCCATCTGGCGGTTCGGCCTACAGGGCCTGGTAAATCAATGCAATTAGTGTCACATCCTCTGCATTTAATGTCTATGTTTCGTAATCGACTCTGGCGCCAATGCCATGTTTAAAACCAGTTCCTAGCTATGGCTTTAATTTATTTATATTTATTTGTTAATAGAACAAATATGTTTTGAGCTTTTACATATTAATTCCTTTCATCTAATAACATTTCTATTTTCTAGCTAAAAGTATACAGATTCTGAAGTACTTGCTTTTATAATTTTTTAAAAGTATATATAAGTATACATTCTGAAATAGTTGCATTTATAAGTTTTTACTATTTTTTATAAAATTCTGACTGTTTTTTAAGAAAGCTTAGAACTATTTTATCCAAGACACACACCCTACATATAAAATTATCCCAGCACCTCAAGCCATGTCACAGCCCCACAATGGTGAACTAAGCTATACTCACCACTTAGTGCACATGTGCATGTCTTTGCTAAGTCGGTTTAGTGAAGCTCACCACCAGCTGACGGTTGCAATCAAATTCTAAATTCAATAATAAACGTATTCATGCCCTATAAATTTAAGCAATGTGTATAAAAAAAATATTGACAAAATATTGTACTATAAATACATAGAAATATAAAATTTTAAAAATATACTATACGCAAATAAATTGTCTGACACCCAATCAATTTAAATTTAAAATATATAGTGGATCTTATGCATTAAATTTATGAATGGAAAGTTAATATCAAAATAGATTAAATGACTCATTATGCCTTCATATTAATTTAATTGAATTTGTTCTTTTTTTTTCCTTGTATTTACTATAATCTTTAATATATTCTGAGAACCCATTTCATATGGTTTAATTGATTATAAATTGTAATTATATATTTTCCTATTATAAAAAATATTATTTTATCATTATTATTATATTAGTAGCTCCAAAATTGTATATATTATAATTGCTTATATTTTATTAGTTTATACTTTTTATTTGGGTACAAGAAAAACTATTTTCAGATTGTTAAATAAACCTTCACTTTACGAGTGACTACTGTACCCATTAAGTGACGTCGTGGCAATTAAATTCCTTAGCTGGCTGCAGCACGTTTCGCTCTGCCAGTAAATGTCGCAGAGAGTCGAGCTTCAAATTGCATCTGTCACACATGTCGTATGCGCAATTCCGAAAAGTTGTGAATTAATTATGAATTATTTAATTGTGACTGTGGAGGGGCAGCTAAGTGAGCTGTTGACACGTCGCCGTGAATAAGGCAAGTGGTTCAGTGGTTTCAGTGGTTCAACAAAAGGAAACTTGTTGACAAAAAGCGAACAGCGACCAAAACACGGAAATGTGAATGAGCTAAATGAGAACATAAAAAAAAAACAAAAAAAAAATAAAAAAACATGCGCAGGCGCCAGCTTCCATCCTGGAAGCAAGCCTAGAGTGTGCCAATACGGCAGGTGGGACAGGGTGGGGGCAAAGTGGTTCGTTCAATATTGAAAGCGTTTGCTGGAAAGACGAAACCACAAAAATGTTTCGACACGTCTCAACTGACGATTCAGTCGCAACCCGAGCCGTGGCCTGACAGCATGTGTACGGCTCCCAGCTGCCCAACGGAAAGGTGTGTGCAACGGTATAACAGCGCAGTAGAACAGTATAACAGCGCAGTAGAACAGCGTAGTAGTCTAGTGTATTCGAATCATGGGCCTGCTCGGCACGCTGCGTCGACTTAGTCCAAGCCCACGCAGCCCCTCGCACGGTATCGAGCTGCAGCATCGCAGTAAAACGCAAGTGGATCTGCAGGTTCCGGTTCCGGTTCCGCCTCCATTTCTGACCACCACTCAGTCCTCGCCCCATCTAACTGAGCAAACGTTGCAGGTGTGGCGGGCATTGCCAGCGGAGATTCGACATGATCCCAGCATGGCGAGCTTTAAAATGGAAAACCAACGCATTCACGGTGAGTCGAGCAGACCCCAAGCACACTTACAGGGTATACACATGTAAGGAATACTGAAAGTGAATGCAAGAAAATATATAAAAGCGCATGCAGTCGAAGATTAGCTTAAAGGATACACTAGAATTTCTTTAAAATGCATTGCACACGACTATAAAATACCCTGTACTCATAAAAATGCATATTATTGTCAATGTCTAATTTACCAGGAATAAGATGCTGAATTTAAAAGTTGAACAGGGCCCAATTATTTATTATTATTTATTAGAATATCTGGCAATCGAGCAAACTTTATCAATTATCGTTTTTACTTTCTTTTGAACTGGAAAGAATTTTAGATTACACCATTATAATCCTATAACTTATTTTGTTTTTTTTAGACAGTCAAGGGTATCTTCAAGTCGAGCAACAATATATCTTTCCCATACCGTATTAAAAAGCTGCTCAAATCTTAAAATTTCCACTCTAATCCCAAGACTATGTATAAAAGAAATTAATGTAAAGAGTATCTGCTAGTCGAACAGCAGTTAATTTACTTTTTAGTCTATTGAGTGAGATAAATTAACCTAAAAGCAGTCAAAACATTTATCTTGAGTCCTATCGATTATTAAATAACGTCAGACTCGATAGATTGAATAGCATTTGACAAGCACTTGACAAGCTCTTGACAAATACTTGGCAGGCAGATGAAAAGCACTTGACAGGCAATTGAGTCTCGGTGGTAATAAATGTGTTTTATTTCATTGGCACATGTGAACAGGCTCCATGGTCGTCGACAGCGAGGCGGAGGAGCACGAGGTGGAAGTCGAGCTGAATGTGGAGGAGCCAGATGATCGTAAATCCAGCTATGCGGGCTCCGATTTTCTGGACATCAAAATGAAGCCGAACTACGACGGCGACAAGAGCACAGACGATGAGGCGACGACCATTCACTCGGATCACGAGCCGCATGCAAACGG